AAAGAATGAAAAATGGAGATACAAGGCTGTGTCCTGACAGCAACAATATTAAATGGTAGTTTATGCCACTGTGGTGTTATGAACAAGCATTGGCCAGTTATGATGCATGTCTATATTGGACATCAGTATGTGATAATCTGAGTTTTGTGTGTGGTAACGTTTTTTAGCACTATACAAAAGAATCATAAGGTTGCTTCTGTTGGTGAATGTACTGTGTTGCTAAGTGAGCATGCAAGAACATTCAAATTGAAACTGGATCAGTAAGTGCTTGTTACCAAATATAGACGTATTAACTACTCTGAACGTTTATCAGAGTAACAAAAAATGTGAGTGATGTGAGCTATATTCCCATATAAGTGTTTGCTTGATCAAAATGGTAGTTATTGACGCACACACATACAATAACCTTTAAATCATGTTCTTTACGTATCAAATAAAAGTCACAACAACACTGAAGATTCATATTATTAACAGAGAAGAGCAGCTTAAATGGCAGAAATTGATTCTAAATGACTGCTAGGAACTAATAATCGCCAAAATTGGAACCAGCAGTTTTTTTTCCAGATATGTGATCAACAGTCAGCAAATTTATTATTTAGATTTTTGTCAATCTAAAAACAGCCAGCTGATTTTTCACATACCTATTTAAAATGCCAGGTTAGTCCATTTAAGAGCAAATAATGTTATTTATATTGTGACTTTGGCTAATAGAAAAGTACTGGAAATATGCTAATAAGTTTAATGTGTTCATTTAGTCCATACACCTATAAATCGGTCAATTTTGCTGTGATAAAATTGGAATCAGCCACAAAAATTCATGATTGTTGTGTTCTTACTTATAACGTATACTGCTATATATGGCGCTGGTTATGAATGGCTTATATGTGTACAAACAATGCACACACATGCATTGCACCCACCCACACCCACCCAAACATGGAGCTCTGGCCTGTGGATCTGGACCCAACATCTTGTGTGCTCTACAAATGCAAGGTGTGTAATTTCATGATTCCATGGTCATGAAGGCTGGTCAGTGTAACAGATAACGTTCATTCCTCCATTCCTCCGTCCGTCCATCCACCCATCCATCCATCCATCCAAGCATCCATCCATCCACCCTGCACCCTGTTTCTCAAGCTCCGAGAGGTCCAGCAGAAAGCCTCAGTGTTGAGATGTGGGCCGGAACTAATAGGATTGGATTTGATTCATTAGATTCTCTTTCATCACACTGGTTGGAATTTCACTGCACGTCCCACTGAGCTCCCCCGTTCCTATTCTGTTTTTTTTAAAGGAGGTTGTGAAGACTCGGGGTGTGAGAGATCACATAACTGAGGCCAAATATTATACCCCCCATCCGCTTCATCTGATAAACAAACAAAACCGCACACCGACTGGGAATACTCACATATACAGCACCTGATAAAATGACTGTGTAGATAACACAGGAAAGCATTTTCATTGTAAGCTGATATATGGTTACAGTCCTGACTGTTATATCCTAAACTGAAAGAATGGAGAATTTATTAGATTCAAATGTGTCGTTTATATATATCGTTTATAATATCGTTTTCAACATGAATACAATACAATTATGATACTGTTAGTACTAAAAAAGAGATGTCATGTGTTGTGTTTGTGTGGAAGTGATGTACACATTTGCATCACTTTTCAATGTTAAACACAATCTCACCAGAACTGTAGAAGACAGATGCAGTTGCTTGGAAGAGCCTGGCAGTTTAGAATTTAATGGTGCAATCTTAGATTTCATTGTTTGGCTATTTTTCCATTTCATTGAAAATGGAAAGTTGAGCTAAAAGGATCAAAGAGTTTCAGACTGAGACTATTTTCTCTGAAAACCCTTTTAAACACCAGCCTAAAAACATGTGGTGACGAGGATGATTTCATCACTGATATTACATTCCGTCGCTGTCCACAAGTATCTCCAAAATAGTAACTTTACAGGAGAGAGCAAAAACACTTTTACATTTCAGTGTAAGTTAATGTAAAGAGATTCTTTTCCAAGTGATTTTAGAGCATTTCTATTGGTCCATTCATCATGAAATTTTCACACAACATAAAGGACAGCTGGTGTCTTGAAATGATGTAGAAAACTAAAAATCGGTAAAAAGACATTTTAAAAACAGGTACAGTGTCCTTTACAACAGCTTATTTGCACAGATAAATAACTTTAATTAATATTAATAAAACATATCTATAGCATGTAGATGTGGGTGCATTTAACATGAGTTCTCCATTACAGTGATTAATTCATTTTAAAAATGATGAGGTCCACGTTTGCCGTTTGTGTTTAGGTGCCAAAACAGTCATAATTTGTTTTTACATGACTATTTTCCAACCTCTCTTTGACTGTTAGAATTAAATAGGCTGTTTTTGTCACTGCATCTTTAAGACTGTTCTGTGTAAATGAAACATCATTCTGATTGGCTGTGTCTCTTTCAAAAAGCAGCTCAGACTGACGCTAAACTGCTGTATAGGTGGAGATACGTAATTGTGATGAGGTAACACGTTTTTGAATGGATAAATTGAAAATGGATTTTCTTAGATTCAATTCTGAAAAATGATTTTAAAAAATAAGTTCACTTTTTCAAAAGTTACGAGAGCTAAATGACACACTGATCCCATAATCTCCCAGAAATATTACAGCATAATAAGGAAAAAGAGGCTAGGCTGGCTTTACGTGGTGAGGTTTTCATATAATTTAGGTTATGGGCTGCATGTAACATAATTTCCATGCAATTAAAAAGCTACACAAAACAGTGAAAAATACTCACTGTCACATATAACAACTTATTATCTTATTATTCCACTTGTCAGCAAGATCAGCATATTGTATTCTTCTTACAGCCTATCAAAACATCCTGGCTATTTAAAACCATCCGCAACAATATCTTGAGCTCGCCATTTGTAATAACGTTCACTCTTTGGATGCCAAAGGAATGTAAAATTAGTTCGATAGTTAAGCTAACGATGTAAGATTTAGAAAAATGCTAGCTACATAAGCTAATTGGTTACTAGCATATAAGAAATGTTATTTCAATTGAAACTAGAAGAATAAAGTTTATGAATGAACTTTAAGATGGCTTTAAAACCACTGCAACGGTATCCCAGATGCTTGCTAAGGTGCTGCTGTGCTGTTGTTGTGGTATTCCAGGTGGTTGCTAATGTGTTGCTATGGTATCCAGGGAATGGTTAAGTTGTTGCTAGACCATTGTGTGGTAATCGAGGCGGGTGCTAAGGTGTTAGGCTGTTGCTGTTATCCCAGGTGGTTGGTGAGGTGTTGCTAGGCCAGTGCTATGGTATCCCAGGTGGTTGCTAAGGCGTTGCTTGGCCTTTGCTATGTAGGTTGGCTTTGTCAAGCCAACTTAATTGTATCATTTGAAATCAATACATGGTACATTATCACCATTCAATGAAATGTATTTCACAAATTTGAGATGGTTACATCTCGCGAGGCTGTATTAAGTTTCAAGAGAATTGCGGGAGGCTTTACATTACACAACGCAACTGAAACTTCTTTTTATGTAAGTTTCAAGCCACTATAGTTGCATTAAACGTTCATCATGTAAAGCCAGCCTTAAAGATATGTTTTTCACATCTTTCAGATTCTATCTCTAAATTAATTTACCAATAATGTTTCTGGCAGTTTGAACCAAATAGCAACAAAAAGACTGAATGGAACCTTTCAGTGTCTCTCAAAGATGTGAAAGTGTTTAAGGTGAGATGGAACAATCTTGTCTTTATTGCAAACACTGAACCTCAGCAGCTTCCTAATGTCTTCAGAATGCAGCAAAGACACTACACATGCAAAACATTTCATGTGAAGAAAGCACTGTAATGATGTCCATCTCCAAGTGTGCTTCCTTTAGAGATGTATGAAATTGAAGGCAAACATCTGATACAACAAAAACCCCTCACAGAGCTTTGCCTTGTTACGATCAAAATAATCAACTTGCACAGCTTGAAGTTCTGTTGAACCGCCCAACTTTGCTCCCTGCGTTTTTTTGTTGCATTGTGCGGAGAGCGAGACGGTCTCTTAAAGAACGCTTCCACTGGGCCAAATTAGCATGTCAATATGGTGCGGAGCTGATGAAATTTGTCTGGTTTGTGTTGTCAACAAGCACAATGTGGCGTTGTAATTGATCAGTTAACAGAGAGCTCTATCAGTACACCTCAGAACTACATCACAGACATACCAGCTACTGTGCACAGTCGTGGTTTTATTCAAAAGACTATTTCAAATTAACCAATAAAATACTACACAACTTCATCAAGAAATCTCATATGAACAAATACACATGAAATGACTTGCACAGATTTTTCTATCATTGTTATGTTAACAAAAACAGTGTTTTGATGTGAAATGGTGCACTAATACAGATTTCTTTAAAGTGATGGTGATGGGAACCAGGGGTCATGCTGTCTACAATACAAATATCATGGACTCATTGACTACATATATGATATTTACACTCAATGACTGTATATGTGAAATATATGATATATACACTGAATGACTGTATATATGATGGAAATTACACATTCATTCATTGACTGTGTATATGATGTAAATGATATATACACTCATTGACTATATATGATACATACACTTATTGCCTGCAACATGCAGACACTGTACATAAATAATTTTATTTACTATCCAACATGACCAGTAAACAAGTCTTCTGAGTTTTTATATGTAATGCTGATAAGGGTAAACATTTGGAATAATAAAGAAAAACGTGAGCACTATTTTTCCTTCATGATGCCAGGATGTACCTTACCGCCTTGAATGTACTTAAAAATACGCTGTACACCAAAACAAAGTCTCAGGGATCATGCAACATATTCATAGCCATTTAGTGGAATGACTTTCAAAGAGGAGGCTATTGGAGCCATTCATATTTCAGATGTCTGGCTCCACCATTATGAACAATTTTTTTTTGTAAGTTTCTCTAAAATGGCACATCACATCAAACCTGATGCTGAATGGCTTTATTTACATCTTAATGACCTAATTAGGCAGAAATATTAAAGAACTGGTGAAATTTATAGGTTGAAAAGTAGAAAAATAACACTTACAATCAATTAAAACAATATTTACACTGAAAATTGCCTTGATTTACATGTGTACATTTTACAAATCTTATCCACAAGAATAAAATATAATTTTGTCTTTCAGTTTGTTTAACATTTGCAGTAACTGTGCTGATGTAATTAGTAAATTCAAAGCATCACTTTTTCAATGTACATTAGCCTTAAATCTTGAATGCACATCATTGTTTTCAGCAATGTAATTAACAGTCCCCTTGTGTTCTGCACAATCGGACATAAGTCGGTGCTTCTGATTTGGACAGCACTAGGGGAACACTGGAGGCTCTTGTAGGACCCTCTCTTCTAAAGCTGGGCCCATTGACAGTGGCTGAGCCAGACAGGCCCTCTGGGTCCGTTGGGGTTTAGCATGTGCCAGTCTCTGTTCTAGTGGGCTCTCACAGGCTTGGCATACACTGGCTCCAGGAGGTGGAAGGGCAAGAGAGTGAACAGAGCTGCCAGGAACACCACACTCACTATAGACAGCAGGACATAGCGGCCAATAAAGAATGTGTCCACTATCTGAAACAAAGCAGAGGGAAGCATTATACATTTATAAATGTGTTTCCTGAATAACCTGAATAGGACAATGCTACGACAGAAATCCTTATTTAGAAGCAGGGGAGAAAGTCAGATTTGTCCACTAGAGGTCAGTAGAACACCTTCATGAGGAGCAGGAAGCAAAAAGTATCCCACTTTAGTTCTACCAGTCTTACAAAAACTCTGAGATGTAACCTTTGTAAAAACATGCTATAGATACACTTGGCTTCTGTTTAGTTGTTTGTACAGAATGAACATATGTAAGTCCCTCCTTTGGGAGTTGCTGTATTGCACAGTATGGCAAACAAAAGAACAATCGCTTTTATCTTAAGCTGAACAATTTGGAGCTTTGCAAACTCTATGGCGGGTTCCCAGAGTCTGAGACCACTAGTGAAAATGCTTCTATTATACATTCTTTTTTAACTAAATAAAAAACTTGAAGCATAACAATTTGAGTGAAAAGTAGAAATGAAATTTTAACAGGAATTGCAGAAGATCTTAGTATCTTCTTTTTGTTTTAAAGACGTGTACTCTGGGAATGACTACATAAATTTGTGTGGAAGCCTCTGATGAGCAGATCGAATCCTCCTGAGAGATGTCTGAACATGTGCTTCAATGGAAGAAATAACACTAATAAGAAAATCGACATTTTTTTGTACAAAGGCTTACATTTGAAGAAATAGAGCAGAATCTAGAATATATTTTGCTTGTCCTTTTCATTGTCTCGAAACTTTCAAAATTCTAAACGATTCTATTCATTTCCAGGCTTGAATGAAAAAAACATTCCCAGATTTTCACTGTGATTTTGGACATTTGGACCCCACTCTGATTATTTCCTTATGAAAGTGAAATATGAAATTGTGTCTGCATATGCACAAAATAGTTTTCAGATTAATATGAAAGTCACTGTGTGCACAGTGCATGTAATGCAAATTTTACAATACAATATTGCCATTTTCACATTAATACAATGCGTTTTATGATCTAGAATTAGGACAGAAAAGCTAATATAACATCTGCATTATTTATTTCATATTATTATTTTTTTCACCCCATAAAAGACAACAGTGCTTGTAAAAGGGATAACTTGCATAATACTAAATGAACAAACAAAAAAAACTATATAAAGTAATATAAACAAAATACAAGGTATATATTACACGTTACATGTAAAACAAGGCTACATCCCTAAATTAAACAAACTGAGCTTTACAAGTTCATTTACAGCAGTTTAGAGTCAGATCTTATTTGTCTATATGAAGTGTGGCACTGATGTTTTTGGCTGAAATGAGTATGAGAGTGAAGTTTTTCACAGTTCAGAGAGCCGCACAGTGGAGTAATTTTTACATTGAAGGTTATTCCTTTCAGGAATATCAGGGATTGTGTTAAATATCGCACATTTGATAGCGTGAAATCTAACTGTATTCGATTCACAGAGCATATCGTCTCGTGAACCTGTCTCAAAAAAAAAAAAATAAATAACATTAACATGCACATTGTGACAACTCAAAACAATATTGTGTATTGTGTACTTATGGCAGCAGCCATCCCTAAAGGCCTGGGCTAATGTATGTGGGCCTGATCATAGGAAAGCTACCTTAAGAACCGTGCCAGGGAGAAAGAGGTGTGAGAATGAAACAGTGACTGTTTGTGTGAAACAGTCGGAGTGGGGGAAAGAGAGAAAGAGAGGGAGCGAGTCCGTGTCTGTTGTGTGTGAAAGAGAGCGAGAGAGAATGGGGGAGGGCGTCGTCTCCAGTGAATGCAGTGTTCTCTCGTTTAACGCATCTCACTTTCTAATTTGCCAATTAGCCGGCTAGCGAAGCAAAGAGCGGAGGCCATGTTTTATTAATGCGGCGTTGAGTGTGCCGTGCCCAGCTCCTGTTTGGGGCCAGCCTAATTGGCACTGTGATATGTTTTTGTACAACAGCAAGGGCTTAGCCATTTCTTATACAGCAGACGGCCACTTATCAGGAGAAGCAGACGATCTGCTCAAACTTACTGCAGCCAGCAGAAACAGGGCTAGCTTCAGTGTGGCTAGCTCTACACATAAAAACACACTGCTCTACAATAAAGAACCAGTCTAAAGAAGCATATTATACCGACTCTACATGCAGAACTCTTTTTGTTTGTAGCTGAGATCTAAATTAATCTGTTTAAAGCCCTTCACTTGTCTACATCCAAAGCTTTTGAGGTGTCGTTTCTTGTGTGGAAGCACATAAACATCACAGTAATGATGAGGAAACAGAAGAAAACCCTGACCCAAATCAGCATCACCACAGCAAAGTACCCTGTGGATCTTACAGTATGGGCTAACGCTCAGTGATGAATTACAAATGAGCCGACGCAACTGCGTGCCGAGACCCCATTGGCTGCACTAAAAAGAAGTCGTGTTGTTTAGGCCTTGTGAATTTTTTCAAAGCTTTACAACATTTTTTTTTTCTTCCAGTTAACAATATTCCACTGTGTTTTCTATTCTAATCTCAGGCTGAAAGGCTGAAAGGTAAACTGTGTGGTTTGTATGTGTGCGTTTGGCAGTGAGGTGCAGTGGTTTTGGCAGAAGCACACTGGGGGAAAATGCTGCTGTGTGTTTGTGCTACTCTGCTGCTGGAGAGAGATAAACCACACCAGGTCTTTTGTGTAAAACACACACACATATTACAATGCAAGCAGCATGACAATTAGAGAACCTTCAGCACTTCAAACCACGTTTGATAAAATTCTACATTTTTACCATTCGAAGAAGAATTGTGTGGAACGTCTAAATGCTGGCACTGGCTGGTTTTGTGGATTTAAAGAGTGTAATGCTATTTTCAGTGTGGTTTACATCTGTGTAAATATTGCAGACATACCTGAAAAGAGGTCATCCTCTGTTTTTTGCGCTATTGCCCTGCATGAGTGTAATAGTAGAGCTTTGTGTAAGTGGGTAAAGTAGCCTAAAGCCACACTGAAGTAAAGGTATTGTTACTAGTGCTGAAGTACATGAACAGTCTCTGTCTCAACATCCTTTTATCTTGGTCTTGTCTCAGTGTAAGTTGGACTTGGAAGTTGTTTTCGAGACTAGCCGAGTGCGATGCCACTGTCTGAGGTAATTAGAAACGGAACTTTTTTCCCCCCAGTGCCCCCAATTTGCCCTACAGGTTTTAAAAAATCTTCACTTCCAAATCCTTTTCATGATGGCTTAACTGGGTATTACTTGTCTGCTGATGTTCACTGGTTACAAAATTCAAGTTGAAGGTTATTATATGTCTTTATTTTATAATATTGAAAATTGAGGTATGTTGTTTGGTTTATATTCAGTTGACTTTAGGTGGTTATGGAGAACAACCTGACCATCATTTACTTTTAAAGTCACAATGCAAAGTTGCACTAAGACTATAATATAATAATAATTAAAATAATAATAATAATAATAATAATAATAATAATAATATGTATGTGGACAAAAGTATTGGGACACCCCTCCTAATTATTAATTTCAGGTGTTTTAGGCACACTCACTGCTAACAGGTGGATAAAATTAAGCACATAGCCTTACAGTCTCGATAGGCAAACACTGGCAGTAAAATGGGTTGTACTGATGAGCTCAGTGACTTCAAACATGGCACTGTCACAGGATGCCACCTCTGCCAAAAGGCAGTTTGTAAATTTCTGTCCCGAGTGTCTATCCTCTGTTAATTCACTCACTAAAGAGGTCCAAATTGCCTCTGGAAGCAACATCAGCAGAAGAACCGCACATTAGGAGCTTCACGTAATGGGTTTCCATGGCCGAGCAGATGCACACTAGCCTAAGCTCAAAATGCACAATGCCAATCATAGGGGGGAGTGGTGTAAAGTACGCCGCCACTGGACTCTGGAGGCGTGAAAATGTATTCCATGGAGTGACAAATCATGCTTCTCTATCTGGCAGTCTGATGGATGAGTCTGGTTTTGGCAAATGCCAGGAGAACATTACCTGCCTGACTGCAATGTGCCAGGTGTACAGTTTGGTGGAGGAGGGATGATGCTATGGGGTGTTTTTCAGGGGCTGGTGCTTGACTGGCCTACATAGAGCCCTGACCTCAACCCCATCCAGAACCTTTGGGATGAACTAGAATGGAGATTGCGAGCCAGGCCCTATTGTCCTAGATCAGTCTCTGACCTGACAAATGTTCTTCTGGATTAATGGGCATCTCCAAATTAAGCAAACTGAGCTTTATATGTTTGTTTACAGCAGTTTGCAGTCAGATTTCATGTTTCTGTACAAAATGTGGCACTGACCTTGTGGCTGAAATGAGTGCGAGAGGTAATATTCTAATGTGGCTCAATCACTCACAGCAAACTGCAGAATCCAGGACTCTTTAACACCGAGTAGCTATCAGAAACTATAAACGCCCATGTCAAGCTATTTGTTTTACCTGTTTTTGAATCACAGGTTTTTACTGAGAGCTACGCAGTGGATGTTATTTTTATGTTGATGTTTAGTCCTTTTAGGAATATCACTGATTGTGTTAAATACAACTACAGCGACCACTGCCTGTAGCATGCATTTTAAAGCATGAAATTTAACTGTATTCAATTCACATCTCATATCGTCTCTTGACCCTCATATCAGAACTAAATATTAACACCTACATTGTGACACCCCTAATATTGTGTATCATGAAAATTTCTTAAAGGCCACAACTACAACGAAGCTTTATAAATTCTGTACCTTGTGTCTTGTCTTGCTGAAATGAAGTTGTACATGCTGAAGAGATGAATACTAACTCGCCTCTAATGATGAGATGGTCTTGACTCGTCTCTAATGATCTTGACTACAACATTAATTGTTACATCAATAAAATAATGATCCAAGTACAAGTAAACATAGCTATTAAAGAAGGCACAATAGTGCCTTTTCTTTTCTTGTATCGGTCGATACAGATCCAATTTGTTTCTTTTAAAACCACTGTGCTTTAAAACGAGCTAATCTTAAACGAAGCACATCCAAAAATCCGACATTCAATTAGACTGTGCTGTCGGAACAAACTGCTGTACAATTCAGTCTACGTTTGTTACAGGATGGGACAAGATTCCTTCATTTTTTACTCTAATATCTAATCCAACATTTTCTGCTGATTTTGTCCTGATGCTGATACCTCGTATCAGATCTATACCATCTCCAGTAGGGAAGTGAGAAGACCTTAACTCAAAACCTGGAACTTTTTAATTCATCCAGCATCTATCAGAATAGGAACTAAAATTTTTAGGTGCTATTCTTCTCTTTTTGGATCCTTTTGGTGTAACATAAAATGCTAAAGTTTGAAAATGAGGGGTGTGAGCAACAGCAAAAGTGCTAAAGAACAAAATAAAATGAATAAGAAAACAGAATGAAAAGAAGTAAGAAAAATAGAGCACAAAGTTGATTCATTTCCCTCTCCTCATCAGAGCAACTGTAAAACTATCTTTTCAAAATTCTTTAAAAAGTACAAATTCATCAAAATTTAAGTACATGGAATTCAGTAATACTAACATATTTCTGGCTAGCATAAACATCTACAGTCTAATGTAAGGTCATTGTCTTAATACACCAATTTAAATGAATAACATTCAAGACACAATACTGTTCTATGCCATTGACTTGAAAGGCTAAATGTTTGAATACAGTTTTAATAGGAAGGACAGAAGTGCAGCCTTTAAGTCAACATGTCTTCTATCTTTAAAATCAAACGCACTGACCTGTGTTTCTTTTACAGGGGACGGGACTTCAGCAGCTCGTGGGAAAAAGACGAGGATCAAGGTGATGGTTAAAGCCAAAAGTACTATGGGGATCATCACCAGTCTGATGAAAAAAAAATAGTATTATTAATTTTTTAAAAATACCCACAAATTCACACAAACATGAACGCTAGCAAGGCTCCATCACTAGCCGAACACTGAGTGAAGAACAAGCAAGGGATTAAAGAACCACATAAACATTCATTTTCATAAGTAGACTACACTTTAAATTAATGACACTGACAGCATGAAATGAGCTAAGAAATTAACAGCATGGCACCTACTATCCACACATTTTTTTCCCCAAAATGCTCAGTTAGGAGCGGAACAATTAAGACATTTAACCTCCTGTGAAGAGAAATGTGAGGTATGTGTTAAATCTACTACTACTAAATTATTTAACATATTAAGCTGGAAAAGTACTTATTGTTTACAAATAGATATATCTGTAATGTTTCATTCACCACTAAAATTGTTTTCCATGTTTGATGCCCCTTCATATTAGCAGTGATAGATATTTTCATATTCCCCAATAAATATTCCACAACAGTAATGGGCATTTGAAATGTCTGATGTTACATGGTAATGCTGACTAAACAAAGCTTGTTCTGCTCTGCACTTAAGGCCTCAAACAGCTTAATGGCTGTGTTTCTAAAAACACTGAAAACATTCATAGCCTTAAATGCCTTAAAGTGTCCATTTTGAGGCAATATTTTTAAAATAAAAGTTTGATTCAGCACATAAACAATGTTAAAGTTTTAAAATACTGTGCTCTGTGAAACTAAGCTAATAAAAATGTCACCAAAAACCAAAGCATTAACATCAGGGGTGCCCAATGCTGATCCTGGTGATCTACCACCCTGCAGAGTTTAGCACCAACCCTGATCTCACACACCTGATCCAGGTAGGCCTTCAGTGGAATCCAAATGTCAGGTGTGTTGGATCTGAACTTTCCAGGGTGGGAGAGCTCCAGAATCAGGATTGGTCACCTCTGATATACCTATTTCTGCGTACAGCCCACAGCAGTTCAGCTCTGCTGATTCACATGATTCCCAATGAAGTTATAAGGAGCGTGTAAGACTCAACTGCTTTGTGGCCAATGAGACCAATCAGAACAGAGACAATTTACATATATTAGTATTAGCTGTTTCTCCTAAGAGATAAAGAGGGATTGGGAAACTGTCATGTAAAAATGATGAATTATGTAACTGCCACATAAAACCGCACAAATAAGTGGACTGTGCTGGCGGTGTGGGGATTAGGACGTTGTCCCTTCAAAGGCCTCACTACAAAGTTAGAACCACAATTTGTGATTAATGTGAGAAAAATGATTAGTTATCTAGTTTCATTGCTTATCACTCTTAAAAACGATCGTTCTTCAAGGATTCTTTAGTAAAGGTAATTGTTCTATTTAGAACCATGAGTTCTATATAGGACCATTTGCAGATCTTTAGATTGATGGTGAATGTGTTGTATATAGCACCAAAAAGTGTTCTTCTGTTGTTATGATGTCAAGCTTGTAACAACAGAAGAACCCTTTTGGTGTTATATAGAACCCTGTTCAACAAAGTTCTATACAGAAATCATACACAACACGTTCTCCATCAATCTGAAGAATCATTTCACCATGCAAAGAACCATTTAAGCATGAAACGGGTCTATGGAGAACTCATGGTTCTGAATAGAACCATTGTCTTTACAAAGGAACCCTTAAAGATCCATCTTTTTTTAAGAGTGTGGTGCCGTTTCAGTAACTCACTTTGTTGGAGCGGAGGCTCGAGACAGAAGGAGGCCGAGAACCAGAGTCACGATCCATATGAGGGCAATGAGGAAAACTCCGGTACCGACACCCAGAACCGCTCCAGCCATACCTCACCTTTCCTCACCTCACCTCACCTGCTACACGAACGAAGGTATGAGCTAAACACCGTTCAAACAAGTCTCATCTAAAGCCAGTTTGAGCAGCTGGCTTTACGTCAGTGTTAAGTGGTTAGGCTTCGCTTAAACTGTAATCTAATGAAAAATAAGTAAACACAACAGCGAGCTAGCCAGCTAACCTAGCCGAGTAACCGTCTGGAACGTATTAATCACCTAGCTTTTTTCTCGTAGGCTAAATTAGCCATTTCTGCTTCTGCCTGATTGTCTCACTGATTCTCGACTTCGTTAGCTACGTTTGTCTGTACGAATTCATATTTCTGGGAGTCGAAGCAAAAAAAGTCTATCGTAACTGTTTCTCCCTGGATACAAAGCGGCGTCATACAGTACAGCCACACTTCCTATGTTACAAAAACAGCCAATCAGAGCGTTTCTTACTCACATGAACAGGATGCTGGGAGTTGTAGTCCATTTTTACGACCACAGAGATGCAAGAGAAGCGGAGTAGTAATGTCAGATCATTTTTATTTGCTTTAATTGTGCATTTAACCGTTCATTTGCATCATATCAAGCAAATATTAAATCGGTTTAATTTAAAACATGTTTTAAACAACAGTAAAAGTGAAAGACTTCAACGAGGTCTCTGAAACAGTGTGGAATAAATGGACTTGTAAAATAAAGTCTATAGTAAATTTTGGTAAATTTGCACAGTTACTGTTAACAGTTTGCTGCTGGACACTACACAAGTATCAAAACTTAATATAAGATATTTATCGTATTAAAATAGTATGCAGAGGCAGACTTTTTTGAGACTTGTATATTAAACAGCAGTATAAAATAGCACTATAGAAATCATCTAGTTTCTTATAGTATTACTATAGTATGGTATTTTCTTAGGGTTAATAGATTGAAAATATAAACAGCATAAACAGACTACCATAACCTTACCCCAAGGTTTTGTAGCCTCTCAAACAGATCATGTCTTTTAATACTTCTTATTGTATCATATTGTTTCATGATATATCATATCGTATTGTTGCATCATAGCTAGCGGTTAGTCTGTTAGCTCTGAGCTTACACATGTTAGCTCATGGCTGCAATGGCATGTTCACTAATCTGTACACACACATTACCCTTCTCTGTCAGTCGGTGGATCTAGAAGAAAAAAGTTCAGTAATTTTTATATATGATATATGTTGTTGGGAGTGGGCTTAACACATACAAGAAATATTAATGCAATATTACAATAAATACCACCTTTATTTGAGAAATGAACATAAAAATAAATGTATTTTTTGTTATACCTCAGCTGTCATTCTGTTCAAAAACTTGTTATATTAAAGATTGCACTAAGTACTGTCACCTCACAGCAAGAAGGGCCTGGGTTCGATCCCCCAGCCGGGCGACCAAAGTCGTTTCTGTGTTGGAGATTGCAAGTTTACCCCCGGTTCTGTGTGGGTCTCCTCTGGGCGCTCCGGAGGGCCAACTGGACATGCTAAATTGGCTCTAGGTGTTATTGTTATCTGTGTGTCTGCACTGTGATGGCCTGGCCACCTGTCCATGGTGTGTCCTGCCTTCCACCCAATGAGCGTTGGGACAGGCTCCAGCATGAGCAGCTTAGAAAATGTGTGCATGTGTGTACAACTCCAAATTATAAATTCATGTAGATATATTATGTATATTATTATAGAAGTACTGTACAACAATATATTATAGATCAATAAAGACACTGTTTTATATATATATATACTCATATATATATATATATATATATATATATATATATATATATATATATATATATATATATATATATATAAATATATATATATATATATATATATATAAAATAGGAGTATTGTACACTGTATAATAAATTATTAGAGACACTGTATTATAGGTCCACATGTACTGTACAACACTAAATTATGGATTATTACAGACACTATATGACATATATTATAATAAAAGTATGGTGCAGCACTATAGTTAGCTAAGAGTCTTATAGTATGACTATAGGTGTAGGTTTGTAAGGGTAAGAGCATCAGAAGCAGGGCTGTCTGCCTTCTCGGTCTCGTCACTGTCACATTTTCAGCGCGCGCCGACAGGGGGCCAGCGGACTCCACACGGCGGAGCAGCGCGAGACTGGACTGAGCGCTTTCCGTACAGCACCGAGAGAGGAGCCGCGGAGGTGCTGCAAAGGGGGGTACGGGAGGCAGAGAGAGAGAGAGAGAGAGAGCGAGAGAAAGAGAGAGGGAGGAGGAGGAGGAGGAGGAGGAGAAGGAGGAGGGGGGTGGTGGGAGGGGTCTTACATGGCAGACGTCACTAGTTGTGTAGGGGAGTATAGGCTGTGTTGTCAGCCTGGTGTCAGTCTGATGAAGATTGGCATTCAGGTAAGCTGTCATTCATTTTCAATGTCAGACCGCAGAAGCTAACACTCCAGCATCTTTTTTTCTCTCTCTCTCTCTCTCTCCCTCTCCCCCTCTCATTACAAAAGGCAGGACATTATTCATACAGACAGGGCCATGGACGAGGGAGAGCAGGGGCGAGAGAGAGAGAGAGAGGGAGAGAGAGAGGGAGAGAGAGAGAGGGAGAGAGAGAAGGAGAGAGGGGTGAGAGAGCAGAAGAGAGGAAGAGAGCAGGAGGGAGGGAGACAGGGAGGGGAGGAGGGAGAGAACGAGAGTGATAGAAGGAAGAGAGGAAAGAGGGAAACGAGGGGAAGATACGATATTTGGAGGCGCGTTAGGATTCTTGGATGCTTGTTTTGCTCCTTGAAGCCTGTGGACTTGTGAAATGTGGTAATTCTCTGTGCGGCTGGGCTGTCAAAAACAATCCTTTGGTCATGAGGCTATTGGTCTGATAGCGGCATGAGGCAGTCATTTCTAACGCACTGTGGCATCTAGCAGGAGGCTTTTTTATTCAGAACACTTTTATTGTCTGTTTAAGTCCTTTTTTTCTTCGTTTCAGTCACTAAAATGCTGTATGTTTTGCTGTCGAGTCTCACTCTGAGTGTTTTGAATAAGAGTAACGGTAGGCTAGTCGGTTAGCTAGTTAACTAACTGTTTTAGCACCAAGTTGATCGCTGTCTGCATTTTTTTGTGTGTTTTCTGACTACAGTGCCTTATTCTTTGTTAGGCTATTTCTGCATGGTTTAATGTGTGGTGAAAATAGCGCTTTTACCTTTTTTTTTCTTTCTTAGTTCTTTTTAACGTGAACTTTTTTTGGCCACTGCTAGTAAATAACGCCATGGCGAGGAAGACGGCATGCATCCATACAGAACTGTTCATTTAAGATATTTCTTTATTTCTGTTTCTGTATTAACTAGACATTTAATGTGCTCTGGTTTTCACTGAGATACCTGAAAGTTAATTTACGGTAATAATGGACTTGACAGCATCTTGAGTTTCTAATGACGTTTCTTTTTCTTCTGTGTAAATTTTTTTCATTGTTTCTCATTGTTTGCTGTTCATTAGTCTTTGGGAATTTGTATTAATTGCATATAAAGGGTTTTACACCTTTGTTTTCTTGTTTTACTTCAGTGTACTTTTGTGGAAAAGGGGGTTCAACTTCCTTTTAGTGAAACTGGTGAAAAAGTCCACCTGTACTGTAAGTACTCCCTTCAAAAAGATGGTTCTTCGAGGGTTCTTTAGTAAAGGGAATAGTTCTGTTTAACCCAGGAGTTCCCTATAGAACTATTTTGTGGATAACGGTGAAATCGTTCTTCAGATTGATGGAGAATGTGTTGTGTATGGTTCTGTTTAGAACTTTTTTGAAAATGGGTCTATATAGCATTAAAAGGGTTCTTCTATTTTTACAGTGTCAAGTTTGTAATAGCAATGGCAGAACCCTTTTTGGTGCTACAGAGAACCATTTTCAAAAATGTTATATACAGAAACACATACAGTATGATTCTAGATAGAATACTGGGTTCTCTTGGTTCTAAATAGAACCGTTCCCTTTTGCTACCTTTGAAGAACCATCTTTTTAAGGGTGTAGAAAAGTTCTCTGGTAAAATTGACACTTTTTACTACATTAAAACACCTCTTAATGAAAAATGGCATTCATGTGATTGACTAGGGTGCTTGGTGTATAATATATAATTTAAAAGTATGGTTAATATGTAATAAATTAGAATTAATATGAGTTAGCGTGTTAGCCAGAATTCCGGTCCTTTTCATTTTATTAAATGTATTGGATTATAAGAAATTTAGACTGCCCCCCCCACCCCCTTAACACTTATAACATATAAATATATTCTAATAAATACTGCCATGTGTGTAGTTTTGACACAACACAGTTTTGTGAGTTCGTGAGCTTCATTTCTACTTTAGTTTTCAGTGCGAAATTATGTCATGCTGTTGTGTTCAATGTATTACTCAGCAGTAAATACAGAAAAAAATAAATCAACTCTTATCTTACATCTACCAACATCATGTTTTTGTACTTAAGTTGCATCAAAGCGACCCAGATGATATCCTGTGTTTGGTAGCCATGACAGATATTATAAAAGCTATTAAAGAAGCATAATTCTGTGTTACTGACACGGGGATTGCATTGCGCACATAACCCTGAGAGTCTTCCCATGCCGTTCAGTGTCTGACACATGAGTCCATGCCTTCTGACTGTCAGAAAAGCTGGATGAGGAATTTCTCAGCATGAGAAGGAGGGAGTGTGTGTGTCTGTGCGACTGTATGTCCCTTTGTCCTCTCAAAGGCAGGCCTCTGATAATCAGGTATTGTGTTTCAGTGGTTTGGGCTATCATGAGGCTGTGATATTTTGGTTGGTGGTGGTGGGGGGGGGTGGTTGCTGTTCAGTGCCAATTTAAATGCTGAGATCCCTGCTGTGATCTTAATTGATGATACGTGTCATGGGACAAGCCACCCTTGGGCAAAACTGCAAATATATAAAAAAAAAATACCCAAGTTTATTTGCATATTCTCATTGCCTGAGTCAGGAGCAAATTGCAGGCTGAGGTGCAATTCATGCGGTCCTGCAGCTTTTCGTTCTAATCACTAATAAACTGATTCGGTCTTGCCTTGATGAGGGCCGTAAACAGAGTGGAAACAGCATATGTTATAAACCAATTTGCGCACTTATGCACGGCCATAAAGCTATTTAGAAAATTGAGCTTGGCCTTAGTGTCTGTCATTTTCTTGTTGACGCCTCTCTATTCGAATGCTTTATTTTCTACTCATATTGCCTGGATCTTTTAGCATCTGTAGGACTAATAGCTTATTTTATGGAACTTTGTGGGCGCCGTTTCATCGTTTTGCGGGTTTCTATATGAATTTTGAGGAAAAAAGGGAAACATCAAACCAGAATTATTCATCAGCCTGCAGTCTTATGGGTGTTGTGGTTTAGACAGCCAAGGTCTTATGCGAGTTTGTGAGTGGATGTGAGGATTTGCACATGGCTCTACCTTATAGCACACCTCCAGGTGATTCTGATGCATGGAGGCAGTGCTGGGCTGGTATTGGACCGGTCCACTAAGCCCTGCTGATCCCAATTGGTCTCTGAGGAGTGCAGGCCTGCTATTGCAGTGTGTCCAAACGACCTCGCCTTACTTTTCCTCCCCTTTCCTCACTCAGCCTCTCGGCTGCTTGGCATAACAGTCCAGTTCCTCCCCAGGGGCGCTGGAGGTACAGGCAGATTTGCCTGATTTATGCTCCAGGAACTGGCGGCTGGAGGTATTTAACGATCACCTATACTGCTCACATCACAGGCCGTGCCGCCTGCGCTATCCCCTGTGTGTACAGGGACGAAAGGACGATATGCCATGAAAATGCATTAGAAGTACAAGGGGATATTATTTATAGCGTCCGTGAAAGACAACAGCAGACTTGTTTCACTGTGTTCGTAATGCAGGGCTAATAGAAATAGCAAGATCAAGTTTAACAGCTGGAGCAGGCACTATTACAGACGGACAGACTTTTCAATTACTCTATCATCAGAGTTTAAGCCTTAATAATAATAATTATAGTACTAGTATGTGCAAACACAAAAAGGAGATGGAAATAATAATAATAATAATAATAATAATAATAATAATAATGGCAATAATAATTTTCCCAGATGCAAATGGCATAAAACCTCATTTATGAGGAAGAAATAATTACTACATAAAGATCAAAAGCAGATTCAAATTAGCGGGGGCTTATTATCAATTCTGAATTTAAAAACCTTTAACAAGGCTGTAAACGTCAGAGCGCCTTTGTTCTTATCTCTGGTGGAATGCTGCTAATCCTAATAAATGAACACCGCCTTGCTGAGAGAAACAGGCCCTGCCTGCGAATCCTGAATTTATTATACTCTTCAGCAGTTGCTGAGCAGGCGAAGGTTAAAAATATTTGATTCAAATTCATCTGGAGATCAAAGGGCAGAAAATACCACCCAAGACCATCTGTTCCCCCTCAAAATACATAAATATACATGTGAATATTATAACTTCACAGTTTCCATTTAAAAAATAGCTCAGGGTATGAAAGACTTTGAAGGAAGACTTCGAGGAGCAGGTTCTGGTGAACATTTTCTCAATTAGACTGGATGTGTGGAGAGTAAGTCTCACATATTCTACACATTTCTAACATTTGTGCGGTATGGAGACGGGCAGGAGACATACTGTATGCTGGTGTTTCTTCAGTTTCTCTCCTCTATATGATAACCCCATGAGCAGAGGTGGGTAGCAAGTAGCTCCATGTACTTTTGATGCATTTTGATAAGTTTATACTGTTTGGAGTATTCTCACTGTTCATGCTTTTATTTAGTGAGGAAAGGAATCGACTTTTACTCAGTTACGTTTTAGCCATTCACTTTGAGTTACAACATCTGCCTGGCTTTGCGATTGGTCATGCCTATGATTTTTGAGCTTTATCATTTTATTTTCCTGCATCAACAAGAGAAGAACAGTGCGAGAAGAATAAACCTCACTTGCTATACTGATAGATGCTGGATGTAGTTCCACTACAGTTTTATTATTTAAGTTACTCAGTATGTAAATGGAATTCCACCAATCTTTAAAAATGCATTCAATCATTGTAAACAAACTAATTCAGAGTGATTTGCTGTGAAATGATGCTTCGCATAGAAAGTTGCCATCTCCAATTTCTTTATAGTGGTGGTGATAGGAATTATGAGTTGCAGTGTCTACAATGCAAATGTATTTTGATTCCTATTCAAAAAGACACATAAATATACACATCTTCTTATATGTAATGTTGATAATGGTGAAATTTATATTATTTATATTGCCCTGCATATATCATGGATGGAAGTTTAAGGCCAAAACTTGATCTCAAAACTATTGTAAAACATTCTCAGGCATCAAACTGCTTATTATAAACCATTTTATAAAATCTGTGAGGTAGCTTTGCAGACATTACATGATTTGGACAGCTTCTTTTATCACCACCATTGGGCACAATTCTGACTTGCTAAGTTTGCATTTCATATCAAACCACTCTGAATCTTTTTTACATTTACTTATACAAAAATTCCCTTTAAAGTTATTTTTTGACTTGGTATTTCTGTACCTTTTCTTTTCTCCAGTTGTAGTTGTGTCATTATTTAATTGAAGTAATAATACACTTACTGGAATTTGGGTTTAGTTTACCTATGAGAAGCTCTCTTGAAGTCTGTTTCTCATGAAGCTGATTTAAAATGCTGACGTTTGTTTGAACTGGAATGGCCTGAATTTCCATCTATTGCTGTAAAACCCATCTTGAGTATGAATGCCTTCTGTCTCAGGCCTACTTGAATGTCATCTTTCAGAAAGTCTATCCTGAGTTTCACGCTTCCTGTT